CACCCCAAAACCACGAATGATCTCCCCCAGCGGCTTTACATAAATATTGAACAGAAGGGGAGAGAGGACCGACCCCTGAGGCACCCCACAAGTTAGGGGTCTAGGAGTCGACCTCTGTCCCCCTGCCAATACAGACTGCGTACGGTCGGTGAGGAAGGAGGAGAACCACCGCATAACGGTGCCTCCCACTCCTAGCCCAAATTCACTCCAAGTGAACCAAATTTTGGAATAAATGCTTCTTCTGAAGCCTACCCTCCCTAATTATTTTAAAACAATTGGCCTCTGACATTATGATAGTAACAAATGGAATTCTGTTTTGTTCCATCTAGAAAAGATGGGTAGTGATTTGGCTGTTTTCATATCTGGGGAAAGGAGTTAAGCAATGGAATAATCGACCTGTCAAGAAGTAGGCATGGTAATACCTATAAGTCAGTGGCAAGGGAAATGAGAAAAAAGTTTTAAAATAATGTTTTTCATTGAGATACATTTAATAACAACAACACCTGCCAAGGAAGTATTTTAATTTATACTGAGATAACTGTTATTATACTACTATAATTGTACAGAAAAAGGCAGAACTGTTAGATATTACTTATGGGTGAATACAAACAAGCATGCAAATCACATTAATTAATATGATTTGTATTCCTGTGTCTGCATCTTAACTATCTACTTTGTTTGGATAGCAGGTAGGTTAATCTTTTGTCCCAAAGTCCTTGACTATAAGGCATGCCATCTGGGGTTCTTTTATTTTTATTTCACTATTAGAGTTTTATCTAAATATCTATTTTGTACTTCTGCAAACCTTCAAGTTCTACCAAGCCTATGCAGCTGGTTTCCTTTCAACTACATAGAGCAGTGGTTCCCAACCTTTGCAGCTTGGTGGCCCGGCTGGGGGAGGAGAAGAAGGGAACTGGGTCATGCAAGTGGCAGGTTGGCGCATATGTGCATGTGTATCGGCCCATCTGTTATGCGGCTTGGTTCCGAATAGGCCCTGGTCCAGTAGTGGGCCCCGGCATGGGGGTTGGGGAGCCCTGACATAGATAGCCATACTTCATTCTGAATTTGGAATAACAATTCTTTCAATAGTTCTCTGCAAATCCATAGCTTTAAGTTAGCTATTTTAACCACCAATTGTGTACATATCACCATGTCTCTTTTTTTCTATTTGTTCTATTTTTATAGCTCCTAGTGCCCCTCCACAATCTGTTACAGTTCTGACTGTTGGAAACCACAATAGCACCAGTATCAGTATTTCCTGGGATCCACCTCCTCCAGATCACCAAAATGGAATCATTCAAGAATATAAGGTGAGAATAAAATGCAGGATAAAAAGAACATCTAAAATGTTGTCCATTATTTCTTCAAATAGTAATAAAAAGTGTGTTCCAATATCAGTAATACTAATATTCCTGTATTTCAGATATGCTTTTCCAACAATATCTCTCTCTTTTTCTTCTTCCTCCTCCTCCCCCCTTCCTCCTCCTCCTCCTTCTCCTCCTCCTCCTCCTCTTCCTTTTTGGCACCAAAGCAAAAAGCACTTCTTCCTGCTTCTTAGTACTAGAAATTTTACCTACACAGTTAAATAATAAATGAAGGCTATACAGCAAATAGAAAAACAGCACCTTTTGGGGAATCTCTTATTTCATGGTGTCCTATTGTAAAACTGTGATATTTATAATATAGATGAGGAAATAAAATTTAAAGTTCCAGTTACCATAATGAGTTCTAAATATCTGATCATCCTTATTAACAAAGAAAGCAATGATCCTTGGGTTAAACCAGGGATTTGTACCTTTTGATAAATTTAGGGAAACTGAGGGTGTCTTTTGCTAAATGGCTCTTATGGTAATCATGTGCAGACATGACAAGACATAAGAACTGGGTTAAGCAGTTTTTCCCATTAGTTATGTTTCATTGTGCTTTCTGCCTATGTGTCAGCTTTAAGAAATAGGTGATTTAAGTCCACTTACTATCTCCTGGCATACCCAACAGTACATGTTCAAATATATTAAATACATTTAGTGGCAACACAAGTTAGCTTTATTAAATAAAAGATAATAATCCCCCCATATCTGTGTGTGTGTCTGTGCGTCTCTGTGTATGTGTGTCTCTGTGTATGTGTCTGTGTGTGTATTTTGGGAAGGGGTGCCTTTGAGTCAGTGTTGACTCCTGGCAACTGCAGGTTTGGGGGCAAGTTTTTTTGGAAATGGTTTGCCATTGCATCCTGCCTGGGGCTGAGAGAAAGTGACTGGCCAAGGTCACCCAGCAGAAAGATATAAATGCGTATAATCAGTGTGATTTGAACAGTATTACAACATAATTTTGTTACTAATTATTTTTATTAAAAAGCTGAATTTTGCCTCTATCAAAAAAACCCACCAATTTTGAGAATAATCCCTTTATATTTTATATTATGTTGTTATTTTAGAGCATGTCAGAAAATGTCTGTGCTCCAAAGGAGCCAGGTTGAGTATGGTGCAGTCCTTGAGTGGCAGGAGACATGAAATGACACCCTATCTATTAGATACACCCCCCCTATCTACTATCACAATCTAAATTAATTACAGATATATTACAAGATGTGTTAGAAACCATATTAAAATAGATATAGGATGGGAATGGTTTATAGAATTGTTTTAATTATATAAAAGAATCTGCAATATGATGCCTATTATTTATGTTCCATAGAATAATTTTGTTTTAAATGTATCTATTTATCCAATATAAAATTTTTATTGTTTTCATCATAAAAAAAAAAAGACATCACAGGTATTACACAATGTTATATCCCATCCCCCCGGACTTCCCAAACCACACCTAGGCTAATGTTCAGATATAAGTAAACAAATATTAATATCTCTAACTCCAAACTCTAAACTTAAACAATCCATCTCTTCCGTATTAATAAAAATTATT